GTGTATATGTGTATGTATGTGCATGTATATGTTTGTATATGTACGTATATGTATGTATAGGTGTGTAGGCATGCATGCATGGATGCATGCATGTATGTGTGTATGTATGTATGTATGTATGCATGTATGTATGTATGTATGTATGTATGTATGTATGTATGTATGTATGTATGTATGTGTGTTTGTTTGTTTGTTTGCTTGCTTGCTTGTATGGTTGTTTATGTGTGTAGGTTTGTATGTTTGTATGTATGGAGACGCACCACTTTTCGTCCGGGTCTGTTTCCAACGGAATTGGCCGGGGACGGGCCCACTGGGACCTGTTGGGGAACTCTGAAGTTGCAGACTGCGACACCGGTGTGCAGCAGCAACCCGAGTTCAGGAAGGGGTCCCAATCGCATGTATCCAAGATTCTTTAGAAAGACCCCTTCATGCTCCTGATAGCATCTAGAATCTACGTCGACATATTAGAAGCCACGTCCTAATCCACACTGTGAGCCCCAGGTACCTGACAAATGTGTGTATGTGTGTATGTATGTATATATATATATATATATGTATATGTGTATATGTATATATGTATGTGCATGTATATGTATATGTACATGCTTACAAGTATGTATGTTTGCATATGTATCTGTATCTATATGTGGAAATATGTGTGTGTATATATATAGTACAATATATGTATATCTGTAAATATGTGGTGGGGGACCCCGCAATCAACCACACCCGCAAGGGGAAGGCAGAACCGAGTGATGGGAATAGAGGGCAGCCACAAGCGAGGGGCATGGGGGAGGGGGATACCATAGAGGGGGTGGGGGGGCCAGCGGTGCTGCACCATATACGGTACCCCAAGACAACAATCTCCGTCCATAGCCATAGATGCAAACACATGTATCTCTGCACTGTTGCCTATCCGAAACGCTTCAACGTTTTATATGGAAATCAATAGGCTTAGTATGTGACACTGCTACAAGCTAGCATGTGAACCGAGTTGGTTGTAGGTCACTTTTCGGTTCGGTTTCAGTACAATTCATTCAGTGTTTATACTTGAAATGAAGCGGGACCCGAGATCCAAGGCTTAAATATTGATAAAGCTCATATTTCTGAACGCCACACATTCGCCGCGGTGACTGTGTACTACAGAGGAAAGCCTATGCAGGATTGTGTGCTACCGATCGCGGAGCTGCCCTCAGTGAGGAGCTTGAGTCTTGAGATCAGGCTCCCTCTGACGTAGACATGTAAACTTCACGTCTCTGCAGATCCATACAAATTGAAATTGAAACAAATGCTCACACGGGCTTTCAGACGGCGCAATCTGCACCGCCGCACAGTTTGAGGTTGAAGCAGTACAACCGGGCCTCCAATATGTCCTGCACCAGGTCTGAGTCCTGCATTTATAACTCGCACACCTACACACATAAAGCAGTGCAACCGCAAGCAGCTGCATACCCCCCTGCCTCAGACCCCTCGAACGGCTCACACTGCATGGCTGCACAAGCACTCAAATTGGCGCATTCAAGATTCAAAAGGCTCCTGTCCCTGCTGACTGCTTACATTCCTCGATTGTTTTCCATCATACCCTCCATAGTAGATGGACGACAGGTAAGTGCTCTGTTAACACTTAAGGCTGGGCACACCAACCGATTGGTGCACATGATGCTGAATGCTCGTGGCTGCAGTCTGATGTATCTGGAAAGACCGTCTGATAAACCTCCAAAGCACCAGTGCCCTCCCTGACGGCAGCAGTCATGCCATTGTTTCAACTCAAAACGGCCAGCAATCCTCGGCGAAGACCAAAGCAGTGCATGGAGCACTACCTCTTGGTACATTCACGTCATAAGCCCTGGATTGAAAAAGTCACAGGGTCAAAGACCGTGTTTTTTAAGAATCTTGGCGACCTGTTCCTCAGGGACGAACCGCAAAAACCGTTTCGTCGCATCATCACTCAAACCAAACAAACACGCTGCCACATTTTTGGTGGCGTCCTGAATTGCTAGATCAGGGCCTACTTTGTCCACGGTGGGAGGAAACCCATACTTGTCTGCCACGCTCAACAGGAAGTCATTCGTCAACCTGTACTGGTAGCGTTCTTGCAAGCGAAAGCCGACTTGGACGGTCATCAACGGTAGGGGTCGCCCCGTGCGCTTTTGGAAGCGTTCCTTCAGGGAGCACATGTGCTTCCTCGAAATATTACAAGCGCCACGACAACAAAAGATTGCAAAACTCTGGCAGCGCGTGCCTCTGCAAGAATCACCACGGTCGATTGATCTGTTCCCAGCTTTTTGCTTATTGGTCTCAAATAATCCTCGGGCAGTTGCGATTGCTCGACAAGCTACAGGTCAAACAGGCCGATACAGAGTTGCAAACAGGCCGATATAGAGTTGCAACCCCATCGACATGGAACTGTGCTATGTTCAATGCCGCAAAATGTTGCGACATGTTTTGAAGCTGGCTTCTCAGATTGCTGTAACCCTGCATGTGAAGACAACCGCTAATCTTGGTGTCACAGAAGCCCCACGGGCCACTGTCCAAGTTGGATGCCGGGGTTAATCGTTTGCACAAACACGCCAAACTGATCAGATGTATAAAGTTAGCAATGACCATTTCCATTTTCTAACCAGGCCCCCACCCCCTAGCACCCAAACCATAGCAACCTATACCTCAACCATAGTAAGACCCACATAATGGAACCACCAGAAGAAACCATACACCACCACATAGAAAAATCCCCACTTCAAACCCATACACGAATACTCCCATAGAAAAACCATATTCCCCAACCCGAAATCCCTAACCCTAGAAAAT